TGTTGTAATCCGGAATAATGGGAGACAGGCATGAGTGAAATGCAGAAACCAAGAAAAGAGTTTCCTAGTCTGCTATTTTTAAAAGCATTCTAAGGAAAAAAATTTAACGATTGTAATTATTAAATAGAATGACTGTACACTTGGAGGAAGAGTTCATACCAAAATCTCTTAATCTTTTCATTTATTTATTTTCCTTAGGCTTAGTCCCTTATTTACCAGGGGTTGCCACAGGGGGATAAATCGCCAACTATTACAGCATATGTTTTACACAGAGGATGCCCATCCAGCAGCAACCCAGTGCTGAGAAACACCCATACACACTTACATTTACGCATACACTGTGGTCAATTTTGTGTTTAACCAATTCAGCTATAGCGCATGTCTTTGGACTGTGGGGAAAACTGGAGCACCCAGAGGGAACCCACGTGAACACAGGAGAACATGCCAACTCCACACAGAAATGACAACTGACCCAGTCAGGACTCAAACCAGTGACCTTCTTGCTGTGAGGCGACGACGGTGCTTTAACAAAAAATAAATAAAAAATTCTCATGGATTTAGAGTGAAATTTCAAATGATATGTTGTAATTTTGGTTTAAATCAACCCTTCAAACCCTAAAAAAAAATAAATAAATAAAATAAATAAATAAAATTCAGTCATTTTGAAATTTCATTCAGAAAATAATACATTTACCCAGGAGAATTGCTAGACATAAAGCTCTAATGGGGCACAGCACCCTCTCATGTAACTGGAAAACAGTCTAAAGACACAACTGGAGGTATGCTAAGATATTTAAGAAATCTTTTGCATGAATATTAATTTCATTAGAATAAAATTCTATAGAAAGTTTGATATAATACAAAAAAAGATGTTTTATAGAATTATCTGTTGTGTGTTGTCTTAGACCCGACTGCTTCATACCAAAAACAACAGGATCAAATCAGAAGCCATGCTGTATAAATAAGATCACCGTCATATAATTTAAACTTTGTGTCAACTTGCAAAACTGCGTGCCGGTTTCATATTGCATGAGCGGCGGGGCTATTTTTTTGGCATGCATGTACACAACCGGACTGGGAGCAAAGCAGCACGCCAGCGTCAATCAGGAGCGGTGTGCGTGAGGCACGCGGATATGTTTTTTCCTGCTCACATATTTGCTGTTTGATTAAACTACATTGCTTTCATCAGCATTGGTTTGGTTGCACATAGAGAATAACGTATTTATTCGGGGATTACCACTCTTAATTTATACACTTTACTAGGGCACTAGCGACGCACCTCCATTTACTGATGTTTGACCTATTTACCAGAAAGAGTCTACGAAAACAAATAAAGTAAATGAATAATTTCTGACATACGGTATGTGATTTCAGGGTTCGCTCAATACATGCAAATCTATGTTAAAAACACAAAAACATTGTTCGTTTGGGCAGTTGTTAGTTTCATTTTTTCATTCATTTTCCTTTGGCTTAGTCCCTTTATTCATCAGGGGTCACCACAGCAGAATGAACCACCATCTTATCCAGCATATGTTTTACGCAGCGGATGCCCTTCCAGCTGCAACCCAGCATAGAGAAACACCAACAAACACTCATTTACATACATACACTATGGACAATTTAGCTTACCCAATTCACCAACAGTGCATGTCTTTGGACTGTGGGGGAAACCGGAGCACCCGGAGGAAAACCCACGCCAACACAGGGAGCACATGCAAACCACACAGAAACGCCTGTTAATTCATGTTCAATGTTAATTTCCCTTGGTATACATATTTGTTATGGTTTAGAAGATTTAAGAAACCCTAGAAATAAATGTTGAGCGTCATTTCAGACAACGTCAGCACCTGTTGAAAAACTGAATACTTTTGAGCTTTTGTCAGCTAATTTTATCTTCCGGGTTTAAACAATCATTATTGGGGCATCAAACTCAGTGACAGAGCTCTTGTTTGCCTGTCCAGAGATGATGTGTTGGTTTCTCATTAGTAATCATAGCTGAGTTTTCTTATCCTATGAGAAGACCCTGCTTCTTAATTATTCATAAGAGCACATGCTTTTCGAAAGCAAGGCAGATCTGCCAAGTTGTGAGATTGTGTCAGCGCACAGCGCGCAGTATTCTGCCATTGATGAAGGATCACGTTTGTTTCCATGGTCTTGGTTTGTTTCATTTATTTATTTTTTTGTCTTTTATCAGTTGAGTTTGTTACCATTCAGACACATCGCCTATATCCATGCTGCTGTGTTCACTTTTATTTAAAATCCTCCAGGGCTAATGGTTGAAATAGACAGGGCAAAAGACCTGCTGCACTGCTATCCATTGTGTCTGCATTCAGACCCGGGGATCGAGGAGAAAAGAAGTCCTATGAAGAAGTAAATCTTTATAATGATATGACAAACGGTGGTCATGTGTATATGAAACTATGAATAACATATGTACAGGGCATTAAATTACTTACTATTTATTTATTTTTTAGATTTTAACTATGTAAACTTTAAACTCTGGGGTCTCCTCACGGTTTGTGTCTCAATTTGTGATTTGTTCGCCCCCCTCTTTTTCCCCTGCTCTGCTGGTCACCCCCACTCCTCCTTCTGTTTGCAGCACTCCACGCCCATCATGAAGCATTTTATGAAAAAAATCTGAGGTAGACTTGAACTGAAAGAAGGGGTTTTATGACCCTTTAATATTTAAAGCATATGAAAATAAAAAGTTTCACTGTAAAGAACATTATGAATATAACTTTAAATCTGACCAAAAAAAAAAAAACTCTCAAAAGACAGTATGATGTTTATTATTTTCTTTATTGCTATGTGCTCCCCATTACAACAAACAGCCTCAGTAGTGTACACTTTCATTACAACTAACAAAAGTACAAACTAAACAAAAAAGAAATGACTGCAAGCGTTTAGCAACTGAAAGTGTCTTTGTAAGCCAGAACAACAATTAACACTTAAACGGACATGAAAATGGGAGGATAAATAGATTTATCCTTTTATAACGGGGTGTCTGTCTGCGGCTTAGGGATTGTCAATTTAATATCTACTATCTTGCATTCTTTTGGGTCTCTGAAGGCATGTCGTCTATTTTAGCAAACAAATTGCAGAAAGTGAATGCCAATAAAATGAAAACGCACACGCCGTTCGCCTCAGATTCAACTGATTGAATGATGTTCACAGAAAAAGTATGCTGTCTGTATTGTCTACTCTAGGTTCAAAATCCACTAAAATTTTGTCTTTTAAAGTTAAAGCTACGAATGAACTGGATAACAGTTTCGTGTAGGTTTGGGGAATTTGTGGGTAAAGGACAGTAAGAGTCACTGTAAATGACAGTTTTGTTTTGGGAGTTCTCTTCAATACTTCTATTCTAAAACAGCTGTGAAGCAGCGTTCCCTTATTATTACATCTCAAAAACTGAGCATGTGTTTTATTAGAGCGAAAATGCCAGTAGAAACAACAGGAAAAGTCTATGTATGTCTACGTTTGTTTACTTTTATGAGCTACTGTTTTTATTCGATGGAAGCTTGTGTTTTTGGTTTGAAGTAACAGAAAATGTTGCAGAAAAGACATGATGTTGAACTTTGAATCTTAATAAATACTGTAAAAGTTCTCAATGGTATATACAATAGCTTAACAGTGGCACACAGATGAATGTGTGTTCACCTTATGAACATCTGAACTCCACTGACAGATTAACTGGTTTCCTTGGTATTGCAGTCAGATGCATTGTGGTTGAGATATAACCCTCGATTATAAAAATAAATAGCTTTCCTCTCCCTCAGATAAGTGAGATATCTTGTGCAGTGTCTCACAGTATAAGATCTTCACAAAGTCCAGCTTTACTCTTTCAAAGTCTTGTCTATATACAACTAATGGAAAAAACTGTTAAGAGACCACTTGAAAAAATGCCCGGTTTCTGTGGATTTACTATTTATAGTTATGAGTTTGAGTAAAAAAAAATAATTTTAGTTTTATTCTAAAAAAAACAACTGATGACATTTCTTTCACATTTCAAACAAAACTATCAAGTAGATCTTTTACATTTGAATAGAATCACTAAAGGTGTCATGTTGACTTACACTCACTGGCCATATTAGATACACCTGTCCAACTACTCGTTTACGCAAAATTAATGCTAATCACATTCAGCCAATCACATGGCAGCAACTCAATGCATTTAGGCATGTAGACATGGGCTGTCTCTCAATTCCAAGAACGCAGAGAACGGAGTTGTGTTCTTGTGGAGACCGGTCTTGCCAGGTGTTCTTGGAAGAACAAACTCGAGAGAACAGAGAACACATGCTGTGAGAAATTAGATATTGAGTTCTTCCTGATGATAACGTGACTTTACAGATTTTAAATGGATTATTTTTTTAAACATTACATTACTCATACAACGATTTATTGTTTTTCCCCTTTTCAAAATATATACTATGCTCAAAAAAACATTATAAATATACATTGCACAATATAAATAAAATATATTAATGTGTTTACTCCTTTTTTAAGATGTCCATGGTGATGTTTACATTTACCATCTCATTTAGGGAAACTCCCGAGGTAAATAAGTTATATCTCTGAACTTTAATAATAAATCTAAATAAAACGCTGCGCTTCCCACCTCCAGTCACAATGACTTCTTGGACTTCCAGAGCGAGATCGGTGCTCAAGTTTGCATCAGTGCATTCTCGATATCAAGAACACATACGGGAACTTTCACGCATCCTCTGATCTTGTGGTCTTAAGTATTGGAACTAAACTTTGGCAGCTGAAGATGTTGATGTTATATGAGAACACAAGGACGCAAGACCACTAATGAACGCATATTGAAATACAGCGATGGTGAAGATGATCTGCTGCAGTTCAAACCAAGCATCAGAATGGGGAGGAACGGTTATTTAAGTGACTTGGAATGTGGCATAGTTGTTAGTGCCAGACGGGCTGGTCTGAGGATTTTAAAAACTAATCTACTGGGATTTTCACACACAACCATCTCTTTAGTTCATGGAGAATGGTGAACAAAAAAAAAGGAAATATAGCCAGTGATCGGCAGTTCTGTGGGTGCAAATTCCTTGTTGATGCCAGAGATCAGAGGAAAATGGCCAGACTAGTTCCAGCTGATATAAAGGCGGCAACAATACCTCAAATACCCACTCGTTACAACTGAAGTGTCACCAGGTGACACTTGGGGTCCAACCTGGTATGAATAAGGTGTACCTAATAAAGTGGCCAGTGAGTGTACATTTATAATTCTCGTTTGAAATTTAGAAGAAATGTCATAAATATTTTTCAACAATTGTGTATTTTTTCCTCAAACATTCATTAATTTTCCTTCAACTTAGTCCCTTATTTATCATGGGTTGCCACAGCAGAATGAACTGCCAACTATTCCAGCATATGTTTTACACAGTAGATGCCATTCCAGCTGCAACCCAGTACTGGGAAACACTTATACACTCTCATATTCACACACACACACAGTCATACACCAAGGTCAATTTTGTTTTACCCAATGCACCAATAGTGCATGTCATTGGAGTCTGGGGGAAAACCAGAGCACCCAGGAGAACAGGCAAACTCCACACAGAAAGTTGGGACTCAAACCAGTGACCTTCTTTTTGTGAGGTGGCAGTGCTAACCACCGAGCCATTATGCCGCCACCTTCTCTCAAACATAACTGTTAAATCCTTAGACTGTTTTCAAGTAGATTCTTAATCGTCTTTCCTCAGCTGTATATGTGATGGGCCATCTATATCATGACTGAACTCTTAACTCATCTTCTCCAAAGATAAATTCATAGAACCAAAAAGCCAAGCATTAAAGAAAAGCCCTAACATCATGGTAAAACAAGTTGGGGAAAATAAATTCTTCAGGAAGAAGACAGTAAACAAATAAAATAAATCACAGTCCATGTGGATTGAGAATTGACTGATGGCTAGCAGAGAAGCTGCTTTTATTAAATGTTTTCAAAAATAAAAGTAAAAATTCTAAGGCTATTGTAATGCTATTTCACATAATGCTTTTTATTTTCCTGGGCTCACACTGTTCTTCAGTGTTTCATTTCTTATCAAATTCTTAAATCGCTTGTAATATATAAAAAAGCACCAATAATGCTCCTGAATCTCTTCTTTTTAAAATATCCTCAGCTTGTATTTTTGAAAAAAATTATAATAATACTGACTTTTTTTTCATATACAGTATTTACAGGAACGTTCATAAATATCAATTGGTCAAGCATGTCTAGAGTTGGTAAAAATAAAACTTTTACGATCAAGAAGTTGATACAACCAGAGCTTGTACACAACACCAAACCCCCATAGACCAGACTGCTTAGAGGATCTCATCGCGAAAACTCCTTTGGCACATTCCCCATCACAACTACGTGTGACTGACAAGTGTGTTTTAAAGACAACTGCTGCTACTGGGGGAAAAAAGAGAACGTTTCAAAGTGAACCAGCACTTTACTCTCTCCTGCTTTTAAATATCTTGAAGATGATCTGAAGGGAAAGATAATTGTTAAAGGTCTATATCTACAACAGACAAATAAAAGAAAGAGAGAGTCCAAAGAGGGGAAAAAGGAGACAAACTTTCCTTCATCTCTCCACCTCAGAAGATGTTGTCGGCCACTGACTCTCTTGGAAACTTTCCAGCTGCATCGGTGCATCTTTAACGCCGTCCTCGCTCCACGAGCTATGGATTGACAATGCAGGAAGATTTCTAGTGCTGGGTTTGAGGCGCTTTTGAGTCTTGCTGTTCTCTGTATTGTGTTTGCGAGGCGGGGGAGTGGCGGCCTGCTTGGAAAATTGGCCTTGCGACGTGGATCCCCGCTGGTGCTGCTGCGGGACTTTCAGAGATCCATTAGCAGCAGCTGAAAGCGTCTCCAGAAGTTGGGAGGCTGAACCGAAGCGAAGTTCCTCCTCTGTTTCCGCAGCTTCGTGCAGAAGAGGAGCAAAAGTGCCACTTCTCCTACTGCAGGATTCACAGCAGAGCTTGTTGTAGCCTGGAATCGAGCAATAACGTGCCAGAACCTCCATCTGACAGAATATGGACTTGTCTCCTCCGCACGGCTCATCTGTCAGAGAAGCAGAAGGCTTTTATTTAGTGCTGTTTTATATGCATCTTTTCAAAGAAGATTCAGCTTTTTAAAATACAAGATACTATTAATCTGTTTATCATGAATATTAGAAAATATTAGAACGAGCTATGTCTCTTAAGATGCAGCCAAACAGACGAACATTGTACAATGGTAATAGAATCATTTAATTGATATTTTCAACCACAATATTCAAGTCGGTACATTGGTAGTCCTTTTTTTATGAAATCTGATAAGAAATTGTCTTTCAGATCCAAAAAGCAAATAGCAAACAGTGCTAATAAAGAGCTCTGTGTGCTGTCATAAATCATCATTTCTGGACCCTATAAAAAGCTGGCCGGACAACAATTGTACTTGTGCTTAATCACTGGTGTGTGGAACATAGTGAGCCTGGAGACTGTAGTATTTAAAACAAACTATGCAATGAATGACTAGTGCTCATGAACTATGATGATTAAAAAAAGAAGACCAAAAGAATAAGAAGCTCAAAGGTATACTTTATTTTGCACATTTTTGTTGACTATAAATTGCATTGCATCCACATACACAAACAAAATTACTATTAGAGTACTAGTACATCTACTAATTTACTAAAGTATTAGACTATAAGAATTTTTCCATGTAGGTCAACTACACTAACTCTAACCTTATAGTCTACCGTTGATATATACACTAGATATTACATAGGGTTCCTGAGCATGTGTCAGTAGCACCGCTACCTTTGTACAGAGCTCCCAGGACAAATGTCAGTCAACTGCAGTTAAGAGTGTGCCAATGTGAAGATGCTGGACTTTTGCGCTGTTTATGGGTGCAGTTTGATGTTGGTCAGAACTTTTAGCCCCCCTAAATTATTAGCCCTGCTGTTTCCCCCCCCCCCCCCCTCCCCCAATTTCTGTTTAACAGAGAGAAGATTTGTTTAGCACATTTCTAAACATAATAGTTTTAATAACTCATCTCTAATAACTGATTTATTTTATCTTTGCCATTATGACAGTAAATCATATTTGACTAGATATTTTTCAAGACACTTCTATACAGCTTAAAGTGACATTTAAAGGCTTAACTAGGTTAATTAAGGTTAACTAGGTTAGGTTAACTAGGTTAGGGTAGTTAGGCAAAATATTGTATGGCAGTGGTTTGTTCTGTAGACTATCGAAAAACAATATGGAGGGCTAATAATTTTGACCTTAAAAAAAAAACTAATAATATTATATATATATATATATATATATATATATATATATATATATATATATATATATATATATATATATATATATTATAATATTTATTTAATTTTTTTTTACTGCTTTTATTCTAGCTGAAATAAAACAAATCAGACTTTCTCCAGAAGAAAAAATATTATCAGACATACTGTGAAAACTTCCTTGCTCTGTTTAAAATCATTTGGGAAATATTAAAAAAGAAAAGAAAAATCAAAGGGGGCTAAAAATTCTGACTGTACATGTGAAACGCAGGTTGCATACTAAGGAAACACTACGTCTCTAACACGTTTAACCACACAAGTAGCATTACAGTTCTTATATAATAAAGCATGACTCATGTTTAGGATAAACTGGATGATGGAGGGGGACTGTGTGGGGGAGGGATGTAAAAGTTTACTGCAATTTTTCAATAAGAAAAGTCATTCATGTTTGGGTCTACATGAGAGTTAAATAAATTGTCATTCTTTAGGTGAGCAATCCTCGCAGTTTTTTAAAAGACAGTTATGTAAGTGAGTGTGAAGGTCGTATTAAACTCAAAGGTCTCACATACATAATGTGGTCTGTCAAGTCATATGTATTTATTGGTGACACATACGTGTGGGTGACTTGGATTTTTGTTATTTCTTGATCCTCTCAACCTTACCCATTTGTTCATACCACCTCTCACTGTCTTATTCCACACACAAAGCCAAAAGCCCAACAGAAAATCCTGCAGCCCTCAATAAAAAGGTCACAATGACTTTCAATTAATAGAAGTCATGGAAGAGTCATTATGGTCCTTGAAGTTGGATTACAGACTATTTGTCACCATGCAAACCACCAACTGCTTAGTGTTTTACATATGAAAGGAAACAAAATGCCTCTAGCTCCCTCAGGAGTCTTGCTTTATACACAGCTGAAAAGTTAAGCAGTGTACAGCAAGATTGCCTTTTGTAAAGGGTGTGTGTTTTGTTAATCTTCCGCTGTGATGGATGTCATCCAAGTGCAGCAAAAGCTATTAAAAAGAAATTAGTGGAAGCATCATGCAAGCAGAGGCATAAAGGAAGCTGTGTTCACAGTGACGTCTGCTGAGATTCATTCCAAATTTCTCACTCTTATCACTTGGCTCAAGGCACGGTGTGTTCTAACAAATAAAACTGACCAGCTGAGCATTACTCATGAATGACTGGAGAAAAATCCAGCAACTCTGAGTTCTCTGAACAAAGTTGGGTATTAATGTTTGCTAAGAAACAGTGTTTTCTGTGCCGTGGGCACTGCAAATCACTAGAAAAAGAAAATGCTGTGCAAAACATTTAGCTTATAGGGTTTGTTTTAAACAAGCGAAGGATTGAGTGAAAATGAGAGAACTACGAATAACAAACGTTGCCAGAATCTCAAGCTTATAGGCATTACGTGACCTAATTAATAACTTTTTCGTACGTATTGCTTGTCTAAATAGATGAGTTAACACGCTTCTCCAGAGAGCAGTTGAGGAGTTCACAGACCACAAAAGCATTCCGGAAAATTAACTGAGGTTAAGACTACCATGAATAATCTAATCAATGCAGATGAATTTGTGCATTGTGCAATATTTTCCGTTCTCTTTTAATGGACTTTCTTTTGTTGAATAAACAACTTAGACACTTTAACCGTTCAAGACCCCATAAAATTGCTTGATGAGTGTTGATTGTTGTCCTTGTGGTGATGCACTTCCTATTAATAACAATTGCCTTCTCTGAATCTTACCATGGCAGGGTCTTGGCCTGCAAGGCTTTTGCGACTCGGGCTTCTCACCAGTACATTGATCTCCAATGCGACAAGTGACCAGGCGTCGTGACACACCTTCTCCACAGGACACTGAACACTAAATAAAAAAAGAAACAAACAGAAAAGCTCAAATGGTTTTAAAAACACATGGTTTCAAAAGACCCACTTACAACTGGAATTGAAATGCATTTTTGTCAATCCAATAATAAGAAGAAAACAGGTGTAAATGGGTTCTAAAATGTTTAGAGATTGGCCATGTGCAACCACTTCCAAAAGCAGTCATTAAAACATTTGCCAAGATTTGACAATATCCACAAAAGAGACCGTTACCAGACATTTTTTAATAGCACAAGCCAAAGTGTGAGATTTTTACTTTAAAATAAATAGTTTTTGCATGTTTTTTTTATAATTCAAACTTTATAAATTAAATGGAAAATAATAATAATTATTTTTCAATAATAAGATAGATAGACAGACAGACAGGCAGACAGACAAATTGGACCTAGTATTTACGGTTACTAAATATAGTTTTTATAGACATCTCGTCACCTTAGAATTATAGGGGTCTATCTGACATTTTTGTCAAAATTGTGTGATGTTTTTTAAGCTGTTTATATTTTAAGATTTTCTAATCAAAGTTGAATTCTAGCTTGGCTCTATAAGGTTTTTTCTGTAAGCCAGTCAGCATTTCCAATGCACACACGAGGACCAGTTAGAATCAGCTTTTCTTTGTCAATTCACCATATCGCTTTGTTGACAGCAGGAAAGACCAGAAAAAAAACACAAAATTAGAGCCGATTAAATAATGCTGCACCTCACAAGATTGAGAAGAACTGAAAAGATGTTTGTAATTGTGATGATTTAGAACCATTTTTTTGACATTGAGATGAAATGTTAAATTTTACATTGTTTGAAAAAGAAACAGTTATATAACAAATGTAATATATTAAATGTAAAATATATTTATTTGTGTATATATACTCAGTAAAACATTTTCAGTGTTTATTAAACTCATTTGCTTATCGTATGTTTTTAAAGTCTTTAAATTTGATATTAAGCCTTGAAGGGCAAATACTTAATTCATGGGACATATAATTCTATAAATATAAATGAATAGTTCATATAAAGGGCATAATTTAATAAATATTACCATACTAATTACATAAAATTAACATCTGCACTGGAAAAACTATTTAGTGAAACCACGAAGGTTTAATTCGACCAAGAAAAATATTAATCCTTAAACATTAAATAAATGTTAGGAAAACAAAAATGTAACTTTCTCAAACATCAAAATATTGTTACAACACCAATTGTTATTTATTTTTAATTAACTTATTAAGCAGACTGATTGCATTTCTTGAAAATACAATAAATTAATAATCTGCCAGATAAAACCTTATAATTCCAAGTGAAAAATAATTTTTTTAGAATAAGGTTCTATCTGCATTTACTGTGTTTTTTACCTCAATTTGCAAATTTAAGAGAACTTTGATAATTTAGGGTACATTTAGGGTCTTTGTTATGTTAATGTGTAAAAGAGAACAGTTACACGCATATTCTTCGCTATATGGAATGCAAAAACTTTGAAGCTCAATATCTCAAAATCATCTAGAACACAAGACAGAACCTTTTAATTCCAAGATGACGATCTTGGCAAACTAAAGAAAATGTCTGATTTCAGATTCTGACATAGCTGGTTAATGAGGTCACAGTTATCAAACAATCTCTCTGCAGGAATTGTCAAATCATTAAAAGAAAAGACTTTGCTTAAACATGATCAGTGTGAGAGAATGACTCTAATTTCAAAGCAAAAAGCAAAAACTAAAGTGACAAGTCCTAGTCTGTTTTTTTTTCTCAGGAAAAATAAATAAATAAATCTACGGATGTGGTAAATACATTCTACAAATGAGACCAATTTCACATTGATTTCAAGTCCAATTGTACTAAAATTGCTTGCAGAGTAATTCTTTCTGCTGAGCTTTGTAAGATATAATTGAAATCTACTCTCTGTTGCAAAATACTACACACAGAACTGTGAGAATCACTGCTGTGTATTTATTGAGAGCTGAGAAAAGAATACCTCTGACCAGGCCCCGGTCCTCCACTGGGCTGGGCAGGCCACTCTGTTACATGCCCTCCTCATCTCAGGCTTTTCCCCATTGCAGTACTTGCTGTGAATGGAGCGGTTTGTGCCCTCATGAAGAAACTGGACACAGCGCACAGTACGGATTTGATATCCCAAGCTTCCACATGTTTTAGTACAATGTTCCCACTCTTCGGTGATCCACCTGACATGAGACAAAAAGAGTGCTTTAGTCTACTTTTTGTGACAGAAAATACAATTCCAAACCTCCAAAGTCCAAACCTCTACTCATGCAAAGTGTGAATACTATGTCATTGTCTGAAATGAAATGTCAGCATATTAAATAAAAAATACATTGTCACACAAATTTGTTCTATGATATCGCTTTAAGTATATCTGAGCATTTCGGCTAAACTTTTAAAACTCAGAGTGTACACTAAAGCTCTAAGGGTCAAGGTTTACTGGATACCAGTACTTTAACAATTCTGAAAGATTAATCACTGTCTGTGTCACGTGTAATGAAAGTTCAGAGGGATCCAAGTGCGAGTTAACAAAAATAATATTTATTGACAAAGTCAAAACAAAAATCAAGTAAGGAATGGTGCTAGTGCTAGGAGGGATCGGGCAGGAATCAGACAGGAAAACAGGGTCCAGAAAATAGTCCTCGGATCCTACGTACACAAACAGAATAGCACACCATAAGCACACATAACGAACTGACAAAGACACACAGAAAACGTGGCTCATATATAGACCTGAATATGAGCCTCAGCTGGCGAGCTCATCAGGCCAGCTGAGTGCCGTCATCACACGTGATCAAAACAAATACACGAGGAGAACAAAAACAAACCAACGTGATCAAACAGACACTCCGGAAAAGCGCACAAACCTGCAACCGTGACATTACCCCTCTCTCAAGAGCACCTCCTGGTGCTCCCAGAAGCGCTTACCTGGCGATTGTAATCATCGATAAGAGAGTGATCCAATATGTCCTTTGCAGGCACCCAAGTTCTCTCCTCCGCACCGTAACCTTCCCAGTCCACCAAGTACTGAAATCCTCGCCCCCTCCGTCTCGAGTCCAGAATGCGCTTAACCGAATAAACGGTCTCCCCATCTACGAGACGCGGCGGGGGGGAACCGGAGTGGGCGGGTTAATCGCCGTATTAAAAACGGGCTTTAATTTAGAAACGTGAAACACGGGATGTATTCTCCTGTACGCTGGAGGAAGTTTAAGGCGGACTGCCACCGGACTAATGATCTTGATGACAGTGAATGGGCCAATAAATTTAGGTGCAAGTTTATTACATACGGAACGCAAGGGAATATTCTTAGTTGAAAGCCACACTTTTTGACCGACGACGTAAACGGGAGGCTTCGACCGGTGGCGATCGGCTTTAGCCTTGGTGCGCGCACCCACTTGGAGGAGGGTCTGTCTGGCCCTATTCCAAGTGCGTCGACACCTCTGGACAAAGGCGTGGGCGGAGGGAACCGCGACTTCGGATTCCAGACTGGGAAAAGCTGGTGGCTGGTAACCTAAGCTACACTGAAACGGAGAAAGGCCCGTAGCCGACACTGGTAATGAATTGTGTGCGTACTCCACCCATGGGAGCTGCTGACTCCAAGAGGAGGGATTCTGGGAAACCAAACAACGTAACATGCGCTCGAGATCTTGGTTGGCCCTTTCGGTTTGTCCGTTACTCTGAGGATGAAAACCAGAAGAAAGACTTACAGTCGCTCCCAATAAATGACAGAATTCTCTCCAAAATTTAGAGACAAACTGGGGTCCCCTGTCAGAAACCACATCCGTCGGGAGGCCATGAATGCGAAAGACGTGATTAATGACAGCATCCGCTGTCTCTCTGGCTGAGGGTAATTTGGGCAGAGGAATAAAATGAGTAGCCTTCGAGAACCGGTCCACAACGGTCAAAACAGCCGTATTGCCACCAGATGGCGGGAGACCGGTGACGAAATCTAGCGAAATGTGCGACCAGGGTCTCGAAGGCACTGACAGCGGCTGAAGGAGTCCAGCGGGAGGGCGATTAGAAGTCTTAGAAACAGCACAAACAGAACAGGCCAAAACAAACTCGCGTATGTCCCGTGCCATAGCTGGCCACCAGAATCGCTGTTTAACTAAGAATAATGTACGACTCACCCCTGGATGACAAGCCACTTTGGAGGAATGTCCCCATCGAATGACGTCAGACCGAATCCCCTCCGGCACAAACAATCGACTAGGTGGGCATCCGACCGGGGGCGTTACCCCGTCCAGGGCTGTGCGGACCCTGCTCTCGATCTCCCATGTCACTGCAGAAATACAAATCCTCTGGGGAACGATGGGCTCAAGAGACGTATTGCGCTCGGAAGAATCAAAAAGACGGGATAACGCGTCGGGCTTGATGTTTTTGGAACCCGGTCGATAAGAGATGGTAAAGTCGAAACGTCCGAAAAATAATGCCCACCGAGCCTGCCTGGAGCTGAGTCGTTTGGCGGACCTGATGTATTCGAGGTTCTTATGATCGGTTCAAACGATAAAGGGAACCCCCGAACCCTCCAACCAATGACGCCACTCCTCCAAAGCGAGTTTGACAGCCAACAACTCCCTATTACCAATGTCGTAGTTTCGTTCTGCGGGAGATAATCGGTGAGAGAAAAACGCGCACGGATGAATTCTGTCATCCGAGGCGGCGCGCTGGGACAGGATAGCGCCCACCCCCACCTCTGACGCGTCAACCTCCACCACAAACTGCCGGGAGGGATCAGGTGTCACTAAAATGGGAGCTGAAACAAAGCGGCTCTTTAGATTGGAGAATGCAGCCTGTGCTGCGCTCGACCACCTGAAGGGAGTTTTGGAGGAGGTCAAGGAAGTCAGAGGGGCGGCGAGCTGGCTGAAATTGCGAATAAAACGCCGGTAAAAATTGGCGAAGCCCAGAAATCTCTGCAGGGCCTTACGAGACTCCGGAATTGGCCAATTTACCACAGCCTGAACCTTCTCTGGATCCATGCGCACCCCCTCGACTGACACAATGTGTCTTAGAAAGGGAACAGACTGTGCATGAAACACGCATTTCTCCGCCTTGACAAAAAGCCCATTCTCTAGCAGCCGCTGAAGCACTCGCCTGACGTGATGCACATGTTCCTGGAGAGAACGAGAAAAAATCAGAATGTCATCCAGGTAGACATAAATAAACTGATCTGTCATGTCTCACAACACGTCATTTACGAGTGCTTGGAAAACTGCAGGAGCATTAGAAAGCCCGAACGGAAGAACACAATATTCAAAATGCCCCCTGGGGGTCAAAAACGCAGTTTTCCACTCATGACCCTGCTTCATGCGAACCAAATGATATGCGTTACGGAGATCTAATTTCGTGAAAAACGAAGCCCCCTGCAGACGCTCGAACGCTGAAGACATCAGCGGCAAAGGATACGTATTCTTCACCGTGATGCTGTTCAGCCCTCGATAGTCAATGCAAGGTCTAAGAGACCCATCCTTCTTTTTCACGAAAAAGAACCCCGCCCCCGCCGGTGAAGAAGAGGGCCGTATGATCTTGGCCGCTAGAGAATCAGAAATATATTTCTCCATGGCCTCCCTCTCAGGAATAGAAAGAGAGTATAACTTGCCTTTGGGCGGAGACGTACCTGGCAATAAATCTATAGCACAGTCATAGGGACGGTGAGGAGGCAGAGAAGCAGCTCGAGACTTACTGAACACTCTCTTCAGGTCGAGGTACTCACTGGGCACGTTTGACAGGTCCATGCGCTCCTCCTGAAACACAGAACAAGAAACAGCAGAACGAGCAGACGAAAGACAAGACTGATGACAGTTCTCACTCCACGAAAATATAGTATTAAGACCCCAGTTAATATGAGGCTTATGGAGAATTAACCAAGGATGACCTAAAACCACCGGTGTGTTGGAACAGTATGTTAAAAAAAATGAAATGTTTTCAACATGATTTCCAGACGTGATCAGTTTTATGGGTTTAGTGGAGTGAGTGATAGTGGGAAGGGAAAGTCCGCTGAGTGCGCGTACTGCAATGGGTTGTGCCAGAGCTATAACCGGAAGTTTAAAACTGAAAGCAAAACTGGAGTCTATGAAATTTCCCTCCGCCCCGGAATCGACAAGGGCGTGGGTGTTCTGACTTCCGGAACCCCATGTTATGGTGACAGGTAGTAATGTGGCCGCCGCAGAGGATTTGTCCAAACTGATTTCACCCATCAGTAACCTCTTACCTACTGATGGGTGTTGTCTTTTACGGGACAGGAAGCCACCCGATGCCCCGCCCCCCCCGCAGTAAAGGCAGAGACCCTCAGTTCTCCGACGACGCTTCTCCTGCAAGGATAAGCGGGATCTGCCCAGCTGCATGGGCTCCGGGTCAGCGCTACTCATCTCCGGCGCCACCGCCGAGACCGGAAGCTCAGGAACAGGATCCGGAAATCTGTCATGCCTCAAGCGACTCTCACGGCGGAGCAGTCTGGAATCCACCCGGATAGCCAGATCCACTAATTCGTCCAGCGTCTTAGGCAGATCTAAAGAGTAGATCTCATCCTGGAGCCGATCCGAAAGCCCATGTAGAAACATGTCCCATTGAGCCTCCGCGTTCCAACCGCTTTCAGCAGCCAACGTGCGGAACTCGATTGAATAGTCCGCCACGCTCCGATTCCCCTGGCGGAGCTCAGCAAGGACTCGGGCGGCCTCTCTCCCTGAGGCGGCCCTATCAAAGACCTTCTTGAGTTCTTTGGAGAAAAGATCGAAGGATGAACAACACGGAAGCTTTTTCTCCCAAGCTGTGGTACCCCATTGGGCTGCTCTTCCAGACAAGAGGGTGATTACGAACGCCACCTTGGACTGCTCAGATGAAAACAAGGATGGCTGCAGGGTGATGTACAGGGAGCATTTGGCCAGGAAGGACCGACACAAGTGCGGCTCTCGAGCATAACAGGTCGGAGGTGGAAGGCGAGGCTCAGCAGCGCGGCTAGCGTTAGCAATAACTGGCGCAGGTACCACATCCGGGGCTGGTGCAGGAGCCGCTTGAGCTGCTCCAGAACCCAGCTGTTGAACCTGCGTCGTCAGCAGTGAAACCTGCTCAACCAGGGCCTGGATAGCCTGTGCGGTGGTGGCCAACGCTTCATCTTGGCGATCGATCCGGGCATTGCTGTTTGTGAGGAACTCTGAAATCTGTGATGCACTCGCTGGATCCATGG